GGCTGGGATCCCTGAAGCCAGGAGCCAGAGGCTGGATGCACTTTCCACGGATCCTGCCAATGATTAGGTCCCTGGACGAATCCTGTCTGCCCAATAAGGCTGGTTCTTCTGAAGTCTTCCAGCTGTAGTCCTTGTGTTATTCTGACCCTAACTGACACTTCCAGATGTGTCTGAGAGCTAATCAAATCCTTCAGATCTAAAACGGTTAGAGATATAGAGAAAAACAGCATAATTCTTAGAAAATCCTGAAGATTCCATTTGTGTGTGTGTATTTGTGTTTTTGGGATAACATTTTGTCAAATGAGAACAGGGAAGACCATCTATTTGATGTTAAACTGTTCTGAAGTAGTGCTTTAGGAAAATGTTTTAGCCTGGCATCCTTTTACGAAGTGCTTATTGAAACAGAATACCTCTGTGCTGAGAGACGGACCAGCAACTCTTGGGTAGGGGGGACTGAAACCCAGAACCATGCCTGCCCAAATATCCCCTCCCTCCCCACTCTCACCCGTGATCTCCAAAGGATGTTTTTTCAAAGTCAGGAAACTGACACACCTTTCTTGAATCTGTAATTCAATTTTTGCCTCCTACACCTGGGAAAGTCTGGGGTTTTAGTTGAATAAGTAAGATAGAGACTGGGAACAAATCCTGTGCTATTGAAGAAGAGCTCACACAATGACCTAACCCACAACAAGTACGGCACAAGAGCAACTGCTGTCAAATAAAACTGATCAGGACACAGGAAGGAGGAGCTCAGTTCTATCACACATCAAAAAAATATATAATAATCTAGATGAGGTAAGGAATTAAACATGTAGAAAAACAACAAAACCCTCTAATGTAACATAATCATAACAAGAGTTAGAAAACAATTTAAAACAAGTAAATGGTTTAGTAAATACTGATGATAAACCAATGTCAGCAAAGGATTACCCAGGAAGAGATGAAAAAATATGACAATAATAAATTATAAGGCCAGGCGCTGTGGCTCACCCCTGTAATCCTAGCACTCTGGAAGGCCAAGTTGGGTGGATTGACTGAGCTCACAGGTTTGAGACCAGCCTGAGCCAGAGCCAGACCCTGTCTCTAAAAAAGAGCTGGGCACTGTGACAGGTGCCTGTAGTCCCAGCTCCTCGGGAGGCTAAGGCAAGAGAATCGCTTGATCCCAAGAGTTTGAGGTTACTGTGAGCTCTGATGCCACAGCACTCTACCAAGGGCAACAAAGTGATACTCTTGTGTCAAAAAAAGAAAAAATTATGTTATATATCATTTTATAATAAAATCCAGCCCCCTCCAGATGACAATAACATAATGGAAAAACAAAACACTCGCAATACCTAGATTAAATAAAAAGAAAGGTAATATGTAAAGTTTATACCAATACATAAAATACTAACTGAATTCCCAAGGGAAAATCGGCAAAGTAAATAGAACAATTTATACAAAGAAGAATGCACTAGAAATTAACCAGAAATCAAGAGTAGAAAAATACTTAGACCTTAGAAATTACAGATATGGAAATCCATTCATTAACTCATCAATGGATTAGCCCGTTAAAAGAGAGAGAGAAAGTGCAGAAATTAGAGCTATTGAATGAGCAGGTCTGAACAGAGCTGGCGACACTAACTCTGGTACCTTCACTCCAGGGTTTGGTCATAAATACTAAGCGCCATCATCTACGGGTACCCTAATTCTGTAACTGAAAATAAGAGACGCCGTATGAACGGAGCTGTTCAGGGCAGCCTTTGTTTATGATAGCAAAGATCTCAAAGTTTCCCAAATATCTAGCAATCAGTGTTGGCACATTCACTGGATAGGATGTTTTGAAACTGTCAGAACGCTAAAAATGTAAAACCGTGCACAGTTTTTGATGAAATAAAAAGTGAAAAGTAAAACTCAAAATTGTCTGCCCATCACACTTAAAACAACAGGAGAAAAAGAGGAAAAGGGAACTGATAAAGCCCAGTAAGGAGTGGTCAGTGGATGAGACAACAGAAAAGCCCCTCTGGGCCTCCACTTGCCAGGAGGAGATTTGCATCAGAATCCAGGGACCACCAGCGCCAGGAAGCCCCAATATTTAAAATGCAGATTCTAGACTAAACCGGGTTGGGCCCCGAAATTTGCATTTTTAACACCCGGGGTATGTGTGTCTGTGAGAGATTCTTCTAAATCCTGAAGGCTGGAAACAGAGGTGACTGAGAGGATTTCAGAGCAGTTTTGTGATTCTAGATTCAAATTTTCTACAGGCTACATGGTCTAGTTTGGCTAAACCAAAACCCAGGTAAAATCAGTACTACACGTGACAGCTCCAGTTTGATATGCGATGGGATGGGTGGGGGTCGAGGGTAGGTGTGCCGACACTGGCAAGCCTCGGTCTCTGCCCAGGCTTCCCTTTTGAGAAGGATTACCTGCTTCTTGCAGACCAGGGGTGGCTAGAGCCCGCACTGCCTCGGAAGCTCTTCTCCGTGCCCACTAATCCTTGACCTTCACCTGTCCCGCTGCCCTAGGGAAGTCGTCCGGACCCTCCCGTCCCTGGAGTCTCTGCAGAGGTTGTTTGACCAGCAGCTCTCCCCTGGCCTCCGTCCACGTCCTCAGGTAAAGGGTCTGGGGTTGGAAGGATGAGATTGGCAAACTTGGGCAGTGTCCAGAGGGCTCAGAAGGAAGAAAGGGGACACTGCCCACCGCTCGCTCACCTGGACGTGGGGGTGAGGGTGGGAGCCTCAGCGTCCTGCCCTCCCAGGAAGGCATCTCCTACTGCCAGACTTTGACTTGAGGAGTAAAGATTTCAGGTTAGGCACCCATCAGCAAAACTGCTTAGCGCCAAGTAAGGAGAGAAGCAGGGCCTGTCTCCACCGTTTCTCATCCAGTGGGTGGATGGCTGGGGGTCAGGAGTCGGAAACCCAAGCAGGAGTGAGACCCCATCTCTACTAAAAACAGAAAAGCTAGCAGGGTGCGGTGGCAAGCGCTACTCAGGAGGCTGAGGCAAGAGGATCGCTTGATTGCAGGAGTTTGAGGTTGCAGTGAGCCATAGTGACCCCACTGCACTCTAGCCTGCGTAACAGAGGGAGACTTTGTCTCAAAAAGACAAGGAAAGGAAAGAAAAACATGAGGTGTCTAAACCCCATCTGTTGGTTCTTGCCCCTCCCCCACCTCCCTCCAGGGATCATGGCCTGGCAGGGTTGGGCCAAGGCCATGTTGTCCCATTAAGCTAAGATCTGTGTAAAAATAGTTGTCACCAACAAAGTTTAAGAGTTTTAAAAAAAAAAAGCTGTATCTTGGGAGAAAATAACTTGCAACAAATATTAAGTATAATTAATTAAGGACATACCAGCAAGCCACTTGAGACTCAAATATAATCACAGACTTACTTTAATGTTAAAAAAAAAGAATTCAGGACAAAGTATTAATATATCTTCTTAAAAAATTCCTGCAAGACTAGGTGCAGGGGGTGGGGGCTATCATGTATAAAGTAATCCTAGCGCTCTGGGAGATTAGGATCTGTCAAGGTGGGAGGATCTCTTGAATACAGGAGTTTGAGGTTGCAGTGAGCTACGATGACATCATGGCACACAAGCCTGGGCAA